ACTTTGACTTTGACCTTTAGAGTATAAGAATCAGCCCACAATAGGTTTGGCGGTCCAATATTGCCAGATTGCGTAAGCCAAAGCAAGTTGATCATCAGTGGGGATTGAAAGAAAATATAATTCACACAATCTTGAGGTTACCAGCATCAGATAGGATTTATTCACCCATTAAATTAACAAATCCACACAGAGAGGCAGAAACCGTCGACCGTTAGGCGAACAGGAAACATAAAAAATAGACTGTTTGAATGAGAAAGTAGTTTGCAACCAAAAAATACTAATAACCGACATCTACTTTACGTAAAAACTGTGGGTAGCCGAGTAAATATGGGGGAGCAAACTTAATTCCTAATGAGTGTGAAAAAGCGTGAGACGGTGGTTTATTCGAAACATAATTATGTCTTACTATCTAACAACCAGAAAAAGGTGAGCGTCTGGGTTTTGAAAACATGTCAATCATGTAACTTAAGGTGAGCCAGTCGAGGAGATTATGTGCGGTAGATTAAGGGTTCGATATATGTGGTATATGCTCTGGTAGAGTGCAAAACGGGCATGTAGAGACCGCTGTGTCTCAAAAAATAACCGCCTACAGACGCCACGCAAGATGAGCAAGGGCGAGAACGTGAACTCTACTTGGCTGGAATCCACAAATCACAACAAACAAAAGTTCACTACCGCACCGTGGGTGAACTATATTGTATTTTTATTTGGTACAGAAAATGAAAATGTCAGAGGCTACAAACTTCCTTCTGAAGAAGTTCAACAACATATTATCAAAAGTGTGACAACATGACCATTTTTATTATTTTACCTGAAGGCTACAAAATACATGAAATGGTCGGGTCTATTTTATTCCTGGTAATGCAGAATGAGAGTAGATAAGAAAATCAAGGATCGCTCGAAAACAATAGTGATAAAGGAAAGTGAGCATCACCCGATCGAGCAAGTGATAAGAATCGAATAATTTATGATGGGAGTTTCGGCATAAATAAGCCCGAATGAATAAGAGGAAAATTACAAGTGTTTACAATCACCCGGTGAAAAATATATTGGATATGCGTGTAAGGCCATTGAATGACTAAAAGGAAAAACTAACATCTGCCCTATCTGTGGTCAACAAGCGATGGGACTTGGTGTCTGACGAAATGTCTGTGGCTTGCAGAATGGGTGAGAAACGAGTGGGACGGCAATGATAGGCATCTTTCACCCCTAAATTCACCTGTTTCGGAGTTCCTCGTTCACCGCAGTTTGGTTCTGGTTATATTCCATTACAGTGTGATGAATCGAAAGAAAGGGGGGGAGGGTAGACCTAATGGTTAGGAGCACCCACTATGTATTTACTTTGAATCGATTGACGAAATAAGCTTTGGATGACTTGCAATGGTGAGCCAATTAGGATCCCAATGGAATAGTCATTATATTGAGCCGGGAAAAGCATAGCTAAGTATCATCAAGAGTGAGTCGCGGTGGAAGGGTTCCAACCTACTGCTTTAGGGCCTGAAAGACGCTCACGGTAGTGATTTATACTGCTTCACCACCATCCCAATCAACATTCGAGATGTACAGCACGCTTTTAATTAACTTCATCAGAACATCTAAGATTATTTCACCTTTTTTTCTATCAAACATAATCCGACCTGTTACCGGTGGACAACCGAACGAATGCGTGCAGGATTTAGTGAGAATAAGTGAATTCATTAAATTCGCTATTCGTAGCAGAAAAAATCTGTAGATCATTGTGCTTTGGAGTTTCCTGTTAGAATGGAAAAACAAGGAGAAAGACCTGATGGATCAACCACCCAACCCCGAGTTTACATCCAACGGTTTCCATGATTTCGCTTCCATTGTACTAGAACCATCACAGATATGATAACAAACTGTTAGAGCAGACAGTAATTATTTAAATAAGAATGGCAAATATGAGCATAAATAGGAAAAATGTAAATCGCTCTGATAAGCTGACAAACAGAGAAAGACAGTTACTGAATTTTTCACAATCGACATACAAACTTCAAATCAGCCAAACAACAATTTAAAGGCAGTAGAATCACTAAAAATAATAAACTTGTTCAACTCTAAACTTTCATAATCGCATCACAACTGCTGATTGCAGATAAATTCATGCGATAAAACAGTCGCCCACTNCCCCCCCCCCCCCCCCCCCCAAAAAAAAAAAACAATAACTTTCACGAGCACTATTTTAAATTTGTCTGCACATTATGAAGAACTCTGCGGGCGCGGCAAGGGGGAAGCGGTCAACTTATTCGAGGTTTGCCCGGTTCAAAAATATCCACTAATCATTTATGAGTGTTTAAGAGAGTCAGAAGGAGAGATGGAGAAAAAATGAAAAGAGGAGGTTTTCATCGTTTATCGACGAGATAGACCGAATCGCATCAAATCACAGAGTCCACAAATTAGACAGATGTACCTGTTCACTACCGTATGGATGGATGAATTTGTTCGCAAGCAGTAACGCCCCCGGTACGTTCACAAAAAAAAGAGCTACGACATAGGATTTTCTGGTGAGAAAATAGGCCAAAGTTCCACGTGCACTACCGTTATTTAATGGTAAAATTCATCTGTGTATCTCTTTTGGCTGATAACTGTAGGTCACACGATCAGCGTACTTCATCGGGGTTATATCACGGCAACTAGGGGAAATCATTTGATTATCACAATACAGAGAATTGCAAACAGTAGTCTAAATGAGGGAGCGCTCAAAGAAACAGATTTTCCTGGTAACAGCCAATCCTGACTGTTAGACCGTTCGAACAATGTGCCTGTCGGACCCACATAGAGAAGAAGCCCAAATCAGTCCTCACTGATCGTTGACCGGAGTTGAGTTGGTCTCATAGGCTCTTAGTCTGATATGTTACTTGAGGGGGTCGGTGATGTGGAGGACCCTAGTAAGAGCGGGATCAGATCTACCAGGGGGCTGGGGAGATACCAAACCAAAGGTAGCTGCTATTCCTCATTTCATTATCACTCCCAATGCGATTTGAAAGTTATACTGCAAGCATCTAATCTGTGAGTCAATGATTATGAAATCGGTACGGGAATCTAGGGTGCGAAATCTATGATCGTGTACGATAGGAGCTATCAAGATCACACTTGTCTTTCGAAGTGGCTTTTATATGACCCGACCAATGAGAGCGTGAGGGGGGGCATACGGACAGGCACAGACACACAGGTACACATACGTAAAAATAAATTGGAAAATTTTCCAAACAGCATGACGCCATAAACGTTTTGTGCCACTAAATATGCATACCGTTAGACATACGCACAAAAGAATCTCTGAAAAATTTCACTCCGATCGAAAACACTGTGTGTCAACCACGGTCATCTGGCGCCTATTGTTTTTTCCCATAGACGGTATTCGGGCCACAAATAGCTCAGTATTTTCCAAAAGCAAAAACGAGGGGGGAAACCCGGACTAGCGCACACACGGACAGTGTCAGGTAAATTAGGACCAGCTATTTTACAACCCCAGGCGCACCGAACAGTCCGCACCATGACATCACGTCCAGTGACTGGTCCGCCCCTTCGCGTGCGCTCCCTCTCTCTCTCTACTATTACTTCTCACTCATCGCCGCCTGCGACGAGCGGACTGAACGTCCCAGGTGAAAAGAGACCATATTTTGGACAAAATTCACGTCAAATACTGGATAAAGCGGTCAAACAGTGGACAAAAACAGGCTTTATTGAAACACACACACACACACACAAAACCCGAACCTCGGGGCACACCGGCTAAGATCCACAAACAGGCAAAATACAAGGCGGAATTAAAGCTTTTGGCGTTTTGGGAACCATGCTAAAAGTTTAACCATTACATATCTGCGCTTACGTATGTGCACCAAATGGGCCGAGTAGTAAATTCATCGGAACATGACCCATATTTCCTCCCATAAAAAGTGCGAAGGGTAAAATTGCAATTTGAACGATACGCCTTTGGCGAAATAAATCCAACAAAAACGAAACTGAGGAGATTATATTCACAAGGGCTGTCCCCGTATTTGTGTCATGTGAGAATTCAGTGCCGTTGATCAAACAAATGCAGAACAGATGTGATCTGTGAACAGAATTTACTGTCAGCTGCTGGATAAGACATGACATTTTCTGTCCTCGGCGGTTTCTCACACCTTGCATGGTGTATTCGAATACTTGTGAAAGATGTGAGGAGTTAGATGAGATAACCAGAACGAAATGAATTAGAATGAGCGAATCTATTAGAACCTACCCAAAAGGGTTTCCGTTTCACATATGAACTCGCCAGGTAGACCATTGGTGCGGACACCGATCGAGTTGTAAGTAAGCGACCATTGAGCGGGAATGGGCATTTGGATCGTAGCTGGCTTGAAGATGACCTAGAGACCGGTGTGCTGGCACTCGTAACTATACCGGAGAAGGTTGGACGACACACTTGTCCGCATGTCTCTAACGGACTGTCAGAAGCGTTCTGGCTAGGTTGGTGTTTTCCGGTTGACCCACGATGTTCAATGGATGTCACTGACATGCCGGGAATCAGGCTAAGGCGACCGTTGGACATAGAGGGTGCGGCAGATAGGGTCGGGAATAACGAGTTCGGTTCGGCCCGCAAATATTGGACCGCAGAACCTGATCGCACTGCCAAACCCGATTGGGATCTGGCTGCTCGAGAGCTGGTCGCTGTGGCGAGATGTGGTAGGTTTGTTTGATGGTCAAGCGATGGGCTACGTGGTGCATCCTGATCCTGCAAACGAAACAGACATGCAACGTGGAGGGGTGGAACAAATGAAATAAAAGAGCTAGTTGAGTATCAGATAGAAGGAAGACTTGGAAAAGATCAGGTATATTTCAGTAGCAACAAAAACAGCCGAATCAAAGTTATTGAGACGAATAAAAATCGAACATTGGAACCACGAAATAATGACCTTGAACACACCCAGATCTGTGGGTGACCGCCAACCCAAAACAGAATCACAAATGTTATGACATGTGATTCGCATCACTAGGGATGTGTCTAGTACGGAAAAAGTGTGAACCCTTTAAAAAGCAATCATTTGAAAAACAAGAAAAACCGTAGGCGGACAATGCGTATTCGATTTCACTCATGGTAAAAATGTCACCGGTGTGCAAACGTCGGTAAACCACTTTTGACATGAAGTGAATTGCAAAATGGAAGGGAAGCTGTGGCCGGATTAGTGTACGACGAACCAGACGAAACGGTAGCGATAGCTGCGTGACGGTAACTGGGCACGGTTAGATGTGGCCGAGTTGTGAATAAAATTTTCAAGTTGCCACAGTAAAAACAAAAAAATTCGAGAGGAGCATTAGTGATGAAAATTCAGAGAGGATGGTCGGATGATGAAAATCACAAACTTCAATGAAGGAGATAGATTTATTTTCCCGTGTTTGCAGGAGGAAATTAGGATAAGCGTAGACTTAGGTGACCTGAATCAGGGCTGTTTCAAATCAGAACAACATCGCAAATATGTAATCAAAGTCAATGTTCTACTATGGGAAACGCTCAGAAGCAATTGTTTTCCTTAGCCCACTGAACTTCTCGCACAACCGGATTGACTGATCGATAGAAGGGAGATGAGGATTGGCACAACGGTTCACTGTTTCATGTTCTACCATGATTGTCGAAATTTAAGACGTGATAACGATTCGTTCAGTTTGTGCTTGAAAGAATCAGTTCAGGGCATGGAAACAAGGTGAGGTGTTGGGAATTTCAAAGACTATACACTCTTATGAGCCCAATGCATGACGTCGACATTCTAGTCGACAGTTTTGGAGCTCTAGATTAAATGGATACCCTCCCCCCCGAGGTGGATGTCGGGTGGCAAGATGAACCGTGAACGACATGAATGGTCAGAGTACTGTCTTATTTGATACAAATCAATATGACGATTGGAATAAAACCCAAACTGCCGCATTCTTTTCATATTATTCTTGGAATGCAGTCCCCTGGCCACTCTCCGCAGATATTGCAAAATCTTACAATCACGTTGCAGCTATGGATTTTAGGCTTAAACAACGTACTCTATGTGGGCTCAAATGTAACTCTTCCGGAAAAGTTCGTAATAAAAATGCTTGAGTAGCGTTGGATGTTTTTGTCAGCATGTTAAAGAAGTCGGTACGATACCTGAGCAGTATGTGCTTGAATGTTTCATGTACAGTAGCAACTGTAGCCCGGATTTGCAACATCCTACACTCGATGCTGATCGTTTATCAAACGTACAAAAACAATCGCTAATTGAACAACATTATAAAATGGCCATTCTGAGTCGAATCGAAGTGATAGATTTTTCTGAAAGAGAATCAATTTATTTGGAGCTGTGCAGAACGCATTTACTATATGGATTGTAGCACTCTAACCGTAACAACGGCATTCTATTGTCTGTGATGAGTTGGACGCAATAGATGAACGCCCGACTGTGGCTTTTCAGATCGGTCGTGGTTATTTACGACTTCTGGAAATGAATGGAATAAACGCGACAGGGACCAATTCACATAACTTTGCAAAGGTACATGAAAAATGGCAGTTTTGGTTTACTGCTTTCCGATTGCCCAGTTGGGGCTCAGGGAATTAGAACGTTGGTTATTGGTCAGAAACCCAAAGAAAGTTGAACCCAAACCAGTAGTTTGAATGCAATTCAAGTTCATTGTGGATGATTGCCACCTTCTGAACCAGACAATAAACAAACAGAGACAGTATGAATGTCAAAAATGAGTGTGCCGGTACACACACACACACAATCATCGTTCTAGTATTTTTTCCCAACACTCTGTTGCCAACTTCGTTGGTTCAAGTTTCTATGCTGACGCCGGGACTGATTCTTACGAGACATTAAATATACAACGTTAAAGGAGAGATGAGAAAACTAATGAATTAAACTATGATCGAAGAATTCCATGCGGAAATTAACTCAAAAAGACTTTGGTAATCGAGAGAACTGAATGATTTGCCAACGCAACACTATTCACCTCGCTAGAACAATACATTCATTCGACTGAGAGAACCAGTGAAACCCACTCCGCATCGCAGACATATCCTACTCATTGAGCCTAGTGATTGTGAAAATCAAAATTGGCCAATCGATCTATTCCAGCTCAAATATTCAATCGCGTTTGTACCTTAAGTTCTCTTATGGTCTGGCCAAGAGCACAGATGGTGCAAAATACTCCCAAATTGTCCATCAAATCTTGTGTGTATGGACGACAAACAAAGATGAAACTGCTTAATTTGGAGCAATTCTATAATCAAAAGAAAGAGAGAGTACATCGAACGACATTCAGTCCTATATCCATCGGAAAGCGCAGCTGTTCTCGGGTGTCATGAGAAGTACTTAAATTGGGTCTGGACAATAAGCGTTTCGAAGATGAGCGATATATCAAAGTGTAACTGCCAGATAGCAGCAGCCAAGAATAGAAAGAGAGTTATCCAGTTTATTTTATAAAGCGAAGAGTATGAGGTAGGCAGTCCAAGTGGGAGCGAGCAAAGTTTATCAACCGTCATAAGATGTTATCATCGAATCAAAGATAACATGTGTGCAAAAGACGATAACTTTGCGAAAGCGTTCATATTCCTCATCATCTTTTTATCGTTGGGCATCATCGGCAGAGCACATCTGTGGAGGAGTGAAACCTGACTGAGATCTCAAGCGGAAAAACACAAGCACACTTATGATAAATAAGCGTATAGGTGGCAAAATCTACTTCGACGGCTATCGCGAGTCCCGGATGTCGCCGGGGTATATACCGGTCCATTTTACTGTGAACTTATCGCCTCAACAATAGTCCTCGTCAGTGATGCCAAGATGCTTTCTGTCCGTCAGGTACGATTTTGTTCACACCATCACGATAAGTAGAGGGTGTACAAGTGGTGTATATAAGCTGTGCAAGCGTGTTCGTGCACACAACGCGTTGTAGTGACTGTTAGCATCATGTTCTTTATAGTTCACACACACACACAACGAAGCACGTATGATATTTATATTGGGCCTGGGGTGAATCAGCCTAATCTAATCGGAAGCCTCAGATAAACCATCACCACGATCAACCGCACCGGGTGATTAGAGTGTCCTAACTCATCTGGCTATCTATTGGATCACTTTCGGTTGTACTACGGACATAACTAACCATTATCTGTAGAGGGGGGGAAGACAGGTGTAGTTGTCATGGTAGGAGTTGTGACGAACAAGAATTGCACACAAGGCACGTTTGAGACAAAAAATAAACCAAAATAGACCAATGAGACAAATTCTATTGGACTCCCAGTTCTGGAATGTCGATGAGTGGTGATCAAGTCGAGATTAAACACAGCATACGCCCTATCATCTGAACTAACGGGGTGCATCAATAGTCGGGAACTTGATCGCTAAGATCTATATCGAACCGCATCCAGATATCTATCTGATCTATCTATAATTGGGACGCCGTAGTAAGGATAACTAGTTTGCACAAAGGATATGCATTTCTAACTAGTCGAAAAATACCGGTTTTCTATAGAAATCGCAATTCAGGCCGTAAGGAACAAGGTTGTAGTTGATGTCCATGTGCGGCCAAAGTTGCCAGTTTGCTTAATTCGAACAGGTTAACATATGGGCCTAATTGGTCAGATCTAATGAACGAATTTTCGAACTACCAAATAACCAAAAACATTTATTCGGAATCCCTTAAACCAATATGCGTAAATACAACAATCTATTCACTCCCAGTGAAAGTTAACTTTCTTTTTTAGTACCTACTTGATTTTGTTCAGTTTTGATTATCACAAACCTTGCTTTGGGTGCTTTGGTCTTCGTTGCCACCCGCCCCGAACCGACCAAACAACGAAATAAATATTAGAATAGTGCTATTAACATTAAAGTGTACAGTTGTATGTCTAAATATGCTTAAATAAGTTGAGTGAATAGACGCAAAGCACAACTGTTTTCGATATAGCATTGATTAGACCGATTCCAGATTTTCCAGCTTGATAGCATAACACGATTAGGTGATCGGGTCAGTCGGTGAAGGTCACCATAACTACACACAAGGTCATTGTCTGATTTCTCTCTCTCTCTCTCGATTTTCTTCTAACCCCCTTCACAGTCACCTAACGTCACATCCGGTGACCTTCACAATACGAGCTCCAGACATCGAGACCTGTGAAGCTTAAGCCCCTTGTGTTGTTATGATGGGGTGGGTAACCGATAGTCTTCGTCTAATCTCGCTGATCCTCGCCCAGACATGACACAGGTGTTCATTCAACCAGCGTTTGTCAACTTACACTGGTTATCTTAGTTCACCGCCGTAAACAAATCTCATTGCAGGGAAAGGGTGATCCAAGATGCATTCCCTCCGTACTTTTTTTGCTCGGAAAGATACCGCTTTATTGGGGATCAAATACACTGACTCCCAGCGCGCGCGAGCGCGTTTCACCTCACCACAAACCGGATAATCGCAACCACGTTGCTAGTAGTGAAGACTGACCCACTAGACCATGATACAAAGAAAGAATTACCGTGGATTGCTCTGTACTCACAAGTTTTACCAAATAAGTGGGCCGGTGTCTAATTCCTCAGGTCATACACCCATTGGGTGTGGTTCGCAATCAAAGATGGTCCAATCACCCGATTGTGCCAGTGACAAATGCGACCTGGTTTTCTTAGAGCTAGTTCATACGCCTTTCCTTAGGATGATTGGAACTACGGTTTACACGCAACCTGTGAGTGGCTCCGCAACTCGGGTGTAAGTGCTGAT